GTGAAATACTACTCTTACAGCTGCTACTGAGTATGTCTCTTGCTATCTTAACATTTACTGTTATTTACTGACTTTGGTACACTTGCTATCTTCTAGTCATTCCTGAGATTTAATTCCTTTAAGACATTCTTATCCTGAAACAAAAAGTTACATTTTTAACTAAAGTGTTTTGTAGCTGCTTTCTCATACTTGGACCCCCTGTGTTTTATTTTCCCAACCAGATCAGTTAAGAACTAGGAGGCTCTAAAATTTTCAGTTTGCACATACAGAAGTCTTTATAGTTCTGATATTACAGGTAATGATGGGTCTTATATATCTTTACGACATAGCAGTCATAAAACTAAAAGTCATCACAGTATTTGAGATGAGCTTTTAATTGTGCTCATAATTCACTGAAAATTCCTCACTAGCTAGCCAACATGTTGTTCAGGTCAAACATAAAATTTGTGTTTGCTAGCTGGGAGAACAGAGATAGCTTAGGATTAAAGTTGTGTTTTATTTTGTTTCTCCTAGCTAGATTTAAAATAAAAGAAAGCTGAAAGGTTTTAATTATAGGTTTATGAACTTAGCTGTACAGGTAACATCCTAGTGGATAATTCTGAAGCCCTATCAATCTCAGTAACCTCTCTGCTTCTCTGTCATTGCCAAGTGACCCTTCTCATATTTCTTCTAGAGCACATTAGGGAGACCACACCATATTCTTGGCAGGTCAGGACAAGCTTATGTCTTCAATCTGAGCATATTGCTTTTCAAAGTATTTTTTTTTAACTCTAGCACTTACACCCTTCATTGTGTTGCCCATCCTAGTTTAAATAGCCTCCTTCCAAGATCACTAATTTTTAAGCAGACCTAAGTTCCTACACCTCCCTAGAATACTTAGGTATTCATACAAATGTACACAAACCTATCCTTAACATAGCCAGGAGAGTTTTTAATTAACTAGGACCAAATTATCTTCTTTTTCTCTTAATGGCTTCTTAAAGAATGATTTTCTGAATAGTGAGAGAACTTAGTCTTTCTGAGAGACCATTAAAGAAAAACTACAGAAAAAGACAGATATTTGCAAAGCCTAAATATTTCTTCTGCTGGACTGTAGAAGTCCTGCATTGTTTTGCTTTTTAAACTTTCCAGTACTACAGCTTACCTTTTACAGCTCCTCATTTAGTGTGAAACTGAAGGACATTTCCAGGGTAACTGAGTCTAACATTATGAATTTCCCAGAGGCATTCGTGTGGATGCCATTAACAGATGGTGATTCAAGACTGAAGCACTTGAGTAACCCAGCTGATCTTCAGAAAATAAGAAGAGGAGGGAGGATGGAAGGGTTTCTGGCCATCTCCATCCCAGGTGTCATCCTGTCACCTGCATCAGCTGTACTTGTGACCATGGCTAATAGAAGTCACCTTGTGTTTAGTCTCTAAGTGTCTTCACCATGAGAAAAGTTGTTGGTCAGAAAGGTGGCTGTGGGAAGTGGTCCCTTTGACTTGGGAGGTCAGTTTAGAAGGTGCCACTTTCTCAAAAGCACACAAAAACTTCACAGAAGCACAGAGAAACTGTGGGGAACACCAGTAAGCAAGAATGCAAGTGCTTTACTTCCAGGAAGTTATTGTATTAAAATTTTTGCCAGCTCAGACTGAACATGTTTTGTCAATTTAAAAGAATTCTTTACCAGTGGCAATTACTTAAATTGTTATTGCATACAAGCCTAGCTGAAAACCAACAAACAAAAAGGTTATCATATCTTAGTGTGCACAAACATACCTGAAACAGGATAGTGGGAAAGAACTTTGACCACAATTATATACATTTACTGCTAGGAAACTTACTATTTTTAAAAACACCTCATTTCCTTCTTCTGTCCTTTTAGTATTTTTCTGTACTTCGACTTTCCTTCACATAGCCTACCCTATGTAAAGCAGATCTGCTCCTCTTATACATCAGATTATTGGACTCTTTACAGGGAATTGCAATCAAGACAGGCAGCACACATAAAAACCACAGAAAGTACCAGATGGTTGCAAAATACACTGTTTTACCACTGTTCTTCTTTCCTTCTGAAACAAGAGGATTTGTTTGTGAGCAGCTGCATCTATTCCAGAATCTTCTTCCCTTTCTGGTACATTCTTTCCTTTTCCTGTATCATGGAGTAATTGAGGTGGGAAGGCAGCACTGCAGATCATCTGTTCAACCCTACAAACCAGAGAGAGTCGGAGCAGATTTCTCAGAGTCATGTCTGACTGGGTCTTGAACATCTTCAAGGATGGAAACTCTACAAACCCTGTTCCACTGTTTGTCTACTCTCCCTGTAAAAAAAGGGTAGTTTTCTTTCTTTTTTTTTTTCCTTAAAATTTAAAAATGGAATTTTCTGTATTTCAGTTCCCATCTATGATAGAATAACATTGATGAAAGCAGAAATGGGCACATCCTAAATGCAAGAATTAGAATCCTTTTTGTTAAATTATTAAAAAGAAAGCCACAAAACCTTTCTTCACATAAGTTTGATTTGCTTGCAGTTATTTATGCACAAAGTTAGGAGACAGGCATTCCTTACCTACCAGGTAGTTAGAAGCATCTGGTTGAAAAAGCAAGTACTCAGGTGGACTGTCAGGAATTTGAATTAAAACTGTGACTTTTTCAGGGTGTAAGCACAAGCTTTTAGATAGGAAGATATTTAGTTTGTAATTTTTTTAAGTTTTTCATTGAACTTCTGTGATTCCCGAGTTTTTTGGTTGTCCCCTTTTTTCCAGCATAAGGAGTAGTCTTTTTAAATTTTTATTTTATTGTTATGGGTTTTTTTCTTTTTCCATTTTCCTTCGTTTCCTTTTCTTCTCTCTTATGATTCTCTGGAGAAGTTTGAGCAGCATATATTTGAAAGGCAGCTTTCATAAGGCAATAAAAGAGTTGTTCAAGAGTTTGAGCTGTTTAATAGGAAAAATATGTTTTATTTTTCCCTCTCCACAGGATTAGGAAAGGAGTACCATGCTACTCTCCTTTGTCTAGAAAAAGAGAACTGCATGGGCCCGTGTACTGCTGCACCGTCATGGGGAGCTGGGAACAGCTAAGAGCAGATAGGGATTGTTTTCTGCAGCTGTATGCCTGCAGATAATCAGTCCTTGACTTCCTCAGTCCTCTCTGTTTATAGGAAAAGAAGAGGATGTGAGCTGCTTTAAGAGCAAATAGTGATATTTGCTTCCTGAAGAGCAAGGCCACAGATGTGGCCCTCAGAGGGTTCTGCAGTGTCCCACGAGGGGTGACTCCTCTGGTCCCCCCTGCTCCCCTCATTAGAGGAGTCAGTCAGGTTTTCACTGTCCATTGTAGAACACTTGCAAATTACAGCATTTTTGAGACCTCTGTCTTTCTTTTTGGATGGGTTACAAGGGAGGCTGCAGAAAGTCAGTTGCATTTTCACACCAGAATCTTTCCTGGGACTAAGAATTACATTTGCATGCAGTTCACCTGTTTGAAAAGGATATAAGTCCTTGTTGTCATAACAATGTTTCTGTGTAGCCACAAGTCTTTTCTGCATAAATATCTATTTTTTTTTTCTGATTCCTCCTGTGCTGAGCTCGCACAGACACTGGGTGGGGGTGCCAATCTCCTCACAGGGTCTGCAGAATGTCAAGTGAACAGGCCTTCCTGACACCACTGAGGTACCAGTTTCAGTTCCTAAAATCTGGTTTTATGCCCCATTTTATCCAGGAACATTCTGTTTTCTTCTAACTGAGGATTCTTTTCTCACAGGAATTCAGTGATGAGACTGGTGTAAAAGGTGTTTTCCTTCTTAAATCTCAGTAGGGGATACTTTGCACCTCCTTTATTCCATGTCCTGCATATTTCTAATCAAAGTCACACATTTGAAAACCCTTTTAAAAAGAAAGTTGGAAATGTGACTGTCTTTCTAGTTTGAGTATTTGGATGTCTTGTGTTTTGACAATCTACCAAAATACTATAGTTTGCTTGGCTAAAACGATGATAATCCTGGTTTTTGTTGAATCCTAGAAAATAGTGACTGCTACCTATCAACATACCTCACATTGATCTAAGCTGTCTGCCTTTTCTGAGGCATGAACAAAAATAACTGTACTTTAAAATCTGTTAGTTTAACATGTTCCTAAATGATTTTAGTAATATAAGTTTGATAACTTTCCTGTAGAACTGTTAGTTATTATTGCATTTTCAAGTGACTGTTTTCTTTCATGCTTGGAGCCTCTTTTGATATCTTTAGCCTAAAAACTTAAAACTATTTTATACTGTGCAAATTGTCCTTCCTTGGGGTAAATGTTGTATAAATTTACCCCTACTTTGGGAAAGACGTATTTTAAGGGTAAATATCTTTAAGTAGGTTTGAATAGAATCAAGTAATTAAGCAAAAAAAAATTATTTAATCAAGTAATCTTGAATGTCTTTGTTCATAATAGCTGGCAGATTGTGGTAAATTTTCAGACTTGCCCCAGAGTTGTCTTAAATTGGTGAAGAATTGATGAAGAATAGCATGAGATGGGACCTGTGCTTATCTTGCACCTGGCTTAGGCCTGAAGACAGAAACATATCTGGAGTGAAGAGAGTCCTCTCCGTTGATGTTGTTTCAGTGAGGCGCAGGACAACATCTGCATCTCTGCACCAGCCACAGGCCTCACTCCTCCTTCACTCTGAGAAACAAACCTTGTTATTAATCTGGTTCGTTAAGGAGATAATGAAAAAACTTACTGTTGAAGGTCAGAGAGCCTCTACTGCTGCCTCAGAGGGTGGAGGAGGAACCAAGTGTTTATTTTACCTTTTGTATCAACTATAAATTCTGACCAAAACCAACTGAGGCTTGCATTTACATATTAGTTTTCACCCCTCTAAGAATGCAAAGGAAGAAAAAAAGAAAACATGCCTTACACGTATGACTATGGTCACCAACATCCCACCCTATAACAGGCGACCGTTCCACCCCTTTGGGAAGGGCAAAAAATATAGCATAAAAGAAGGGCGGTGTTGGTGGCAAAAAGGGAGGGGGGAAATATCTCTGCTTGCTTGGGATGGGTCCACAGCTTCTGCATCTTCTCCTCTTTTTCTGAACGGCCACTTTTGGGTAAGTTCTACACTTCCAGGCATGTTGGGGCAGATGTGGGAATGTTTATATATCTGTGTCTATAGATAGACTATATTATATATATATATTTTTTAATATATATGTATCTATAGATATATACATAAATATAGAAAGGCATGTATAAAATAAATAAATTATATATATATATATATATATATATATATAAAATCTATATCCCTCTAATAGATCTCCATTACTGCGCCTTGATACTCTGTAGCTAATGCATCTCTCACTGATAGTTCTGAATCAGCTCTCTGTTGTTTCAATGAACTGATCCATAAATTTTTTGTGAAATTTGGGTGAATTCACATGGAAGTTCATGATTCTGGATTGTTCTTAATGAACTCAGGTTCTTAATGAACTCAGCCATGTCATCAGGCGATGGTGAACTGCACTATTTGTGAGTCTGCAATCACAAAAGTTCCTACTGAACGTGACCAGGCTGACGGTGCCAAATTGACTGAAAAGAGAAATGAAGCCCAGCTGCTCCCAGCCCTTCTGATCTCTGAGGAGCACCGGAACAAAGGGTTGTTGGGTTCTTTCCCTGCCAAAGTTCTATACCCTTATCACAACACTGGTTTCAAAAAGAAGAGAAGGAAACATATATTTTGAGTGATGTGGAGCATAAAAGAAACCTTTTGTCCATTTTACTCCCCTACCTCTAACAATAGCTTTAGTTAGTCTCCTGCTTGGAGCATTTTCCTCTGTTACAGAACATTTCAGATGCAGAGTTTTTGCTTAATACAGGGAAATATAATTTATTAAAATTACAGTTATGTTGCAAGAAGTTTGAGCAGAAGTACCTTTTAGGCTGTGCTTAAATTTCCTTTGGAACTGTGCAAGCTTGGCCTGCTTTGTATCACTTGAGCTTTACTGGAATAATGAAAAGTGTCTGTGTACAGCCAGGAATTCTGTCTCTTGAAGGCAGCTGGATCTTTGACAGAATTCCACATCCATTTTGATGTGAAGTTTTCATTGTCCTTAAGTTGCATATAGTATTGAATTTTCAAGGGAGTAGAATACACAGCTCACACTAAAATTTGATGTCCCTCTGCTCACAGGCAAAATCTTTTGGAAAAATACTTGCCAAATATGTAACATTTGTTGTCTAGTGACAACTAAGTTGCAGTTTCCCTAAAGAAACTCATTAAGGTCACACACAAAAAAATGAGAAGCTACTTACAATAACTTTGTCCAGAGATTTGCAGGAAAGAGGACAAAAATGGGAGAAAAAAACCCAAAAATCTTATTTCCCATAAGAAGGGGAGTAGTATTACTTTATTCCATGTTTGGGTCCTGCAGAATATTGGCAGTAGGGATTAAAGTGTTCATTGTCAGCTGGGAGGGTTCACAGACAAGAAATACTGCTCAAAATTTATGTGGAAGATTGGTAGAGACGTCCATGAAGTTCTCCCCTGGCCCCTAAATATGTGCTGTCTAAAGTGAGCAGCTGTTATTCATGGGAACTCTTGAAAAGTGAGGGTGTCAGTTAAAAGACGACTTTGAGGGATTTTTATGATAGTGGGAAGATGCTTACACTTTGCCTAATTATGAACAATTTTGTGATACCATGCTGTAAATTTCAGATGAAGGAATACCTACCATATCTAAAGATTGCAAATACCTACGTGTTATTAAAGAGAGTATTTTTACATTCTGAGTATTCATCGTACCTATTACAGAAGGATAAAATCATGCTGATTAGAAGAATCTGATTTCCATTAAGCTATTATTGAATACACTGTGAGTTGGCACCATGACATGAGACAAAATGCCAGTTTTTACTGCTATGCTCTTTATAGTTTAATTATGTTCTAATAAATAGGGTAATGAGCAGTCACCCTCAGAATTTCATTTTATCTATAAGAGAGCTTATTCTGATTGAAGAAAAAAATAGTATTAATTTACATTTTTTAGCCAAGACTGTAGCCCCTACATGCTATAGCATAATGAAAATAACCAGGGCTGTATTTACTTACTGAAGGGCGGGGACAGGGGGAAGTAAAAAATCACATTGCACTACAAAACTGTCAGAGTTTTCTATACTGTGCGGTTCACATGGTAGTATCAGTTTCCAGTCACAGAGATAACTGGTGTCAAACCAGCAAAGGGTCCTTACTGGAGCACACAAGTTAAATGATAAAAGTGCAGGAGTTCCCTTGTTCTTCTGCCAATCACAGGGGGTTCAAGATCTCAGCAGTACAAGAGGGCATGAGGAAGGATTTCTCCCTAGGCATTGGCACAGGCATCCTTAGATGTCACTGTGCTGAAAGAACAGGCAGTGCTGCTTATTGCAGGTATTTTCTGAGCACCTGGTTGGCCTCAAAGGAAAATATTCTTTGCTTCTCACTCTGATCTGCCTTTTTCCTTCTTCCTTGATTACTTCAGGGATCAGGTGTGTGGCTTTTCTTCCTTGGGCTTAATTCCTAGGTTCTGCATGATGTTATAGACACAATCTGGTTTTTCCTTGCATTTCCTTTTTATTGCAAACAGGTGCCATTTCTAAACTCCAGGCAGGCAGCTTCTTAAACTTCTGTCCTGCCCATTCAACCAAGCACTCTTTTCCCCCTGTAGATTTGCCAAGAAAAGAGGAGTGTCCAAAATTATATTGTGGAGTGCCTTCAACTCCAGTAAACTGGCTGAATGAGAAGTGAAAATTGTGTGGCTGGTAGCACTCAGTAGAGCAGCTGTGCAAAAGCAGGGCTGAGCTGTTTCAGTTCCGTGGATGCGCTTGCAAGTGTGTTGTAAAAAACCTGAAAAAACAAACAACAACCACAACAAACAGACAACAAACAAAACCAGACAACAAGCAAACAAACAAAACAGTCCCTCTGAAAAAAAACCAAACAAACAACCCAATAAAAAACTCCAAAAACAAACAAAACAAAACAAAACAAAACAACAACAACAACAAAATCCCAACAAAAAAAAACAAACAAAAACCCACCCCATGAAAATGCTGGAACGTGAGGTAGGGAGAATCTGTGTTTATGAATCTTCTTTTTTTCTCCCTGTGGCACTTATTTCAGAGGTTAGGATGCCCAGGTGTGACTCAAGAGACACAGAACTGAAGTAAATGCAAATTTCTCCCTCTTATGTTTTTTTTTTCCCCCATACAATTTCTCAATGCTTGATTCAATGCAAAACATTTTCTTACCTTATGAAGGATTCCCAATCTTTTTATGCTTCTAGAATCTAAGCATACAGCTGCAGAAACGGAAGTTTTGTGCTGTTATTGCCATCAGAAATTAACTCTGGAATTAATTGTGGAATGTTCATGTTACTCAAAATTTAAAAAAAAAAAATTCATTTCAAACAGGTAGGAAGTTGTTAGCCAGAAAAAAGAAAGTTCCTGTAGAAAGGCATTTCTGAGATTAAGGAGTCTTCACTCTTACAGAATCCAGGTGATACAAAATTGAAAATATGTAAATTGGAAATATGTTCAATGATGATTAATTAAATCCTACTTTGTTTTAATGTTTTTTGGATGTGCAGAACATTAAAAAACAGGTTGGTATATTAAGCAGATGCATTGCTATATGTATGCCACAGGGCAGATAAGAAGATGATGATGTAATAACAACTTCTGCAAGTGATATTAGAATTTGAATAATAATGAGAAACCTGTACCCTTTGCCTCTAGATGATTCTGTGCAGAACTTTAAGATCTCCGGATTAACTTTTTATCTGCTCTGAATACTTTGGGAAACTTGGTGTTTTGGACCATTAAAACATTAGGAAAATATGTGTGAAAAACAAAAGAAAAAACAAACCCCCCCAAACCAAACCAAACCAAACCAAACCACCATCACCAGGAAGTGATGCCAAGAATCCATGACATTAAATACATAAAGTTCAGGTACAGCTTTGATGATTGTGCAATATATTAACTTCATCCTTTTCCCTAGAACTGTAATGGAGGATCTCTCCAGAGAGAGCAAATAACAAATGCTTTCTTTCTGTTTTTCTCCCCAGTGGCAAAACATTCTGTAGGGTGAGGTCTAAGAAGGAGAAGAATCATGTTACATCAAGTGTGTGCAAATAATCTCCCTCACAGAAAAATTGTGGTTCATTGCTGACAGGCTGTGTTTTCAGGTTTCAAAGTTTCTTCAGAAGTATACTGTATGTTTAGATGGAATGTGATACATATAGAATCTGGGTTGAGCTGCTGTGTTCTCCCCCCACTTATTTTCACTTTTGCCAGGTAAACCTTCTTCTTCTGCAAGATAACTTGAAAAGTATAATTTATTTAATCACTTGTTGCTTGGATACTGTTAGTCTTCTTTGACCTAGAGCTGCACTCCTAAATCAAGCTTACCCAAGTTGAATGAAAAAGTCTAAAGTAGCTTTAGATTAAAAACAACCATAGCATTGCAAAGGCGTACATTTTTTTCTGAAGAATTACACAAATCTGTCTTTGTGATGGGATTTTCTTCTCTGTTCTTCCTGTGGTACAGTTAACAGTCCTAGCAGCTAGAACACAATACAGATTATTTTGTCAGAAATAGTTTTCACTTTTTTTATAAATAACCATTCTAATGGCTATTTATTTCCTTTTGTGCTCTTGAGAGAACACCACAGAGACACAATCCCTTAGGAGAACTGTACACACTTCCCCAAGATTAAAATTTGGATAGCAAAGAAAAATGTCTATTTCATAACCAAGTAATTTGCAAACATTTGAGAATCACTTCTTCTGCTAGGAATAATATTGAGCAGTTAAACCATATTTTGTTATGTAATAGTGTTTAAAAGACAGATTTCTCTTTGAGAGAAAAATACTAATTGTTGGGAAGCTTAATATATGCTTGTCTATATCATGTAGGTAATTTTAACACTGAGTATTAGATTTGCCTAATAGCAGGTCAAATTACACCAATGCTTTACATTCACCACTAAGTGTGTCCTGTTGGACAGCTAGAAAATGAAAAGAAAATGAAAAAGCTAGAAATTAAAAAGAGGAACTACATATGCACCATCTAATTAAACAACCTCATTATTTCCTGGACTATTTATTCAGTTTAGGGTTAAAACTTCACACACTTACCAGCTGGTTGATGATCTATGCAAAGAAATGGAAGTGGCTCCCTTATGGAAAGGAAAAACAAAAACTAAAACAAAAAAACAAAAACAAAAACAAAAACCAAACCAAAACATTAAAACCTGCAGAATTTTTAATGTCTTTCTTCCACCTTTTCTCCATTCAACAAGACTTTGAAAAACAACAGGAGGGGAAAAGGGAACTTTTTTCCTTGGAAAACTGGGAGCTTTACTTACATAGGGTGCATGAATGAATGTGGTAATGTTACAGCAGTAATTAAAAACCTCTCTCAGACATAAAGGATGTATTTTACAGAAGAGATTGTCTTCAAGCTGGGGAAGGTGTATGAAACAAACCATAAAATGGGATACAGGGTAGTTTTGCTCAAAATTACTCACAAACTTTCAGTGCAGAGGAGTTTGGTGAGTTGGGGCTTCACCAAACTCCTCAGGTTGTTGTGTGGCCAAGTCACCTCTGCCCACTATCTGGGATAACCCTCTTACACTCCCAGCCTCGGCAAGGCCTGGACTTAGGGCATTCCTTGAAGGGGACCTACGCCAGCCCACTGAAAAATTACTCGATACATAAATGAGCATGAAAATTGGGTTCCCTGAAGCATTAACGAGAGGCTACATTCACAATAACACACCTGGCAGAATTGCCACCTAAGCAACTGTGAAATAATTGCACAAAGATTGAATTTGAAGCCCAGCTACTAATTCCTTCCTTTCAGAGACCATTGCTGACTGGCATGCCATCAACACATTGTAAGCAGTTTTAACACTTTTCAGATGTCCTTGCCTCTGTCTGCAATTCTTCACAGCATGACCTGGAAGAAAAACCTTTTTTTTTTTTTTTTAATAAATTCTTCCCTGGATCACTGAATTAGCCATTTAGCTCTAGTTAAAACCTAAGTCTGGCTTTGATAAGCGTGACTCTAATCATCACAATAAAACAACTGGTGAGTGGTGAATCAAGATCACAGGAGATCTGTGTAGAGGGAGATGAAGTAAATCACTGCAGTCAATCACAGCAGGGCTTTTTATCCCACTTCTCTCTCACCTTTTTTTTGTATCTAACTGTGTGCTTCCTCCCTTGAGAACCCACAGCAAGAACTAAGCGACTCAGATTTAAAGTCTTTTCACCTGTACTATGCAAAATGATAATGATGAAAAAGGTTTTACTTTCATCTCTCAAAAAATTTGACTACAGGAAGCATGCAGATCATCTTAACTTTGTATTTAGAAATGTTCTTTCCAGTTTCACAAGCAATGAAATATGAAAGTATTCTTAGCTAAAAAGATGGTAAAATAATTTTGAGTTTTTCAGTAATTCTAACTATAGATTTTTTTTCCTCTCATTCAGAATCTATTTTTTTCCCCTGAGAGGCCTTATGTTGTCTTCTCTTTTAAAGATTGACAGAAGAGCTGTCACGCCTTTGGCAGACTATCATTCATGAGATCAATATTAATCCAGTTTTTAGTAGAGCAATTAGAAAGTCAAATATCAGAGATAGTGTAGTTTCTATTAGCTTGAACTAAGCTGAATATAGAAGCCATGAAAATGAGAAACACCTTATTTTTAAATGTATTAGAATGACATAGCTGAACAAATTCCTCCATTTGTGGCCCTCTGCATAAAGTATGATCATAAATGACATGTTAACTCAAAAACCAGAGTTTACAGAAAAGAAAGCAGATTATTCTTGATGGAATCTCTCATTGTGTCCTGAGAATTTCAGACTAATGAATTTGCACTGTAAGTGACTTAAAGCAAATAAATAACATGGTATTTCTCACCTTTAGGGCTTATTCTAAGGGAAGATTTTAATTTTTCTGTCTGTTTTTTTCTTGTCTATTTACAACTTCATTTGAGAAAATAAGGCAGCTTTTATCATATTAGTGATAACAGGGACTTGAAGGTGTAATTGCTTGTTCTTCCTCATCAGGAGTTTCCCAGAGCAAGGAAGGTACATGTGCCTCCTGCCATGGAGGAATTGCTTTATTAATGGACATAGGTCAGCTTTACTAAGACGTGCTGACATCTGAGATGTCCCTTCCTACCCAGCTCCCCAGCACGAGCCTCTGCTCTAGTGATGGTTTCAGAACACGCTTGAAAACAAGAGATTTTTATGTGCAAGAGCCTGTAAAGTCTTCCCAGGACTACACCAGGCTGTAAAAATTTTGATCAATTGTAATAATGTGACATGAAGCTTTTACAGATCTCTGATTAATGTTTTTACTATGCTTTATTCAAAGCATTAAATCACTATTGCCCATTCTTGGGAATACACATTATTGTTGTTTCAGGTCCCACTGAATACAATATGCGCACTCAAACATGCTGCAGTTTTACTGAGTAAGGCTCTCTGAGTCTCAGCTTTACCAAGCCAAGGAAAAAAGCACTGTTTGCTTAGAAACAGCACTGTGGTAGGATTTAGCTGAGGTACAATTTTGGTTTAATAAGATTTACAAATTAATTTGGATTAGGAGAAATTGAGACAGCCTTAAAAATTTAAATTTGATGCCACAACTACTTAGTTCATTTTTATCCATCACGACATATAGGGCATGACATCTTTTTATGCTGTTTAACAATAAACAGTTCTGACATAGCCATTTGTTAAACACATGTACAGCTGAGACAGAAAAAAGTCTGATAGTCCAAAGCAGGCAAAGTGGTATCCACTATTTAAAATACATTTTCTTACCTTATCCACTGTTTTCTTTGATAGGTGTTTGAAATTACAGGTTCTGTATTTCTGGTGTTGAACACAAGCACAAGATGAAGCTCAGGCTGCCAAAGTAGCGGTGAGTCTCACCAGAGGATTCTCCAGTTTGCATTCCCAGAATGGGGAGCATGGGGAGGGTCAGCAACTCGACAGCAGTACTGTTAAAATAGACAGTCACCACTTCCACAAAGGGTTGCACAACTAGACACAAAACGCCTGGGGATGATTATGACACACAGACAGTAATTGCCACCTTCCTGCATCTTTTGTTTACCTTAGTGTTGCCTCAGGGGTAAAAGTAGCAGGCCTTTGGTAATTTGGGAGTTGGAGCTTCTTAGTTAGTTTGTGTATTTGTTTGTTTGGTGGTGGGTTTTTTGTTTGTTTGTTTTTTGGGGGGTTTTTTTGTGTGTTTTTTTGACCATAGTGCTTGAAGGAAGAGCAGAGGATTTTGCTGCTATTCCATTCCCCAGAGTTCAGAAATTTTCTGAGAGTGCTTTGCTGCTCAGTGTCCAAGTGGGAAGGGGAAAGCTCCGGGACTAGGAGTTTCCTTTCACCAGTAGAGAGGAGCCCTGTTTTCCATCCTACCCGAGTTAATGGTTTAGTTACCCAGTTCTCTTACTTCCTGATTTTAAACCTGCCTAAAGGCAGATTGTGTGAAGCCACTTTCTGCACCAGTGTTTTGCTCTGTTCTGACAAATTAGTGATTAGTTTCCCTGTGTACTGTTAAATGAGCTGCAGAGTGTGCAGCAGCTGAATTTGACTTTTGGGTATAACTTTATGACAGCACTTATGGAAACAGCATTTGTGGAAATCAGCTTTTAGAGACTACAGTCCAGAAGGATCTTTATCACTATCATTTGCTGTAAAAGATGTCCACATTTTGCTTTTTAAGTGAATTAATTGGCTGAGAATGTCTTTTACCATTCAGTTTTCCTCATAAATTGTATCTTGCTCTGGACATACAGTATGATATTATTAGGATGTCTTGTCACTAGCAGGTTATTTGGTTAGTATTTTAAAAGATAGGAAGAAAAATAAATGGCCAAGAATGAGAACAAGAGCAAGAAAATTAAAATACATTAAACAGATAAATGTTGAGAATTGGTTTTAATAGGAATACTGACAAAACCCTAGATAAAAGACATTTTTCTGGAGAAAACAGTATGCTTGATAGCAGAAAAAAATAATTATGGCTTTAAGACAGCTTTTCAGAGCATGCATCTAAACAGCGATGTGGCTCTGCACAGATGCTGGGAGCAGCACTGAGGGCTCACTCTGCACTGACATAAGCTGAGCTTTGAGTTTTAGTACCAGGTTTATAAAATAGAGCTCCCTGATAGGAGGAGCAAAGTAGCTCTTGTTTTGCAAAGTGTAATTATTTATCTTCATTGTTTCTGGAGAACTGCAGCAAGGGGATGATTTACAGGCTATGATCAGCCTGGGCTTATTTTCTCAGTCATGCAGATGACTTCTGTGTCAATTGGTCTCTGAGTACATTGTCAGCTTCTACTTTCCCAACTTCTAATTAGCTAAAGATCATTAACAAGGAGGGCAAGGCCATGAGACAAGATACCTCTCGTTTTCCAGGATAAAAGCTAATTATCTGAGTTCAAGAGAAAAAAAAAATCAACATCATGATGCAGTTTAAGATAATCGCTCACTCTACACAACTCTGGAGCAATTTTCCCATCTTTTAAGACTGTTATTCTGCTCTCTAGTCTAAGTGACCCTGACTTTTTTTAATTTTTATATAGTGAGTACCAGGGGCTTTATTTTTTTCTGTACTCCTAGATTTCAAGGTATAGTTTTCTCTGCTTTGGTGTGGCCAGTTTGTTTTGTGTCATCCACTGTTTTGCTTCCTTGTTTTGGAGCAGCAGAGCTTTGCTGATACATTTCTCAAGTCCCTTTTTATAGAGCTATTGACTGGTCAATAATTCCTTAAATTAATTTATGGAGTTGATTATCTCTACTCACACAAAGAGGTTAATTGTATCACATAAGTGATTTACTTGCTCTTCCATTCTGCTGCTCATTTATTATTGTCTCTATGGAAAAGCTTGTGGATGTGTGGATTTATAGTGTGTGTGTGTGCACACTTTTGGGGAGAAGTCACAGTAAGGGTTCTGTGTTAGGGTCAGGAAATCAAGTAATGACAAATATTTTAGAACAACTCACCATTATGTGAGGTCTTCTTCCTTATTAGCTCTTTGTAAAATTATCTTCTTAAAAGGGCCAGAATGGAGAGGAGTTTGCATGCATCCCATATCTAAATAGTTTTAAAAGGCTTAACTGACCCACTGTCTTAAATTGTGAAGAGCAAGAACACAAACCAGACTTTTCAAGAGCCCAATTCCTTAAAGGACACCTGGAGATGAGATCAGGGTCAAGGATGGGGTTGCCCAGAGAGGCTGTGAATCTCCCTCACTGGGGATATTTCTGAAGCACCAGGGCACAATCCTGTGCCCCGTGCTCTGGGATGGCCCTGCTGGGGCAGGGAGGTGGGACCAGCTGACCACTGTGGTCCCTTCCAACCTGGCCCATCCTGTAGTTCTGTGAGCCTGATGCTAAGAAAATCTTACTTGGTTTGGTATGTGCCAAACAGCAATCGTTATAATCTGAAAAGGGGAAGATTCTGATTCAAAAAAAGATACAAGAAATTACAGTGTAGCGAGTCTGTCAGAGGAGCAGGGACCCAAGGCAGCTGTGAGAAACAACTGGTAAAATTTTCCATCCTGTCTCTGGAGTTTTTCAAGACCTTTCTGGATGATGTGTGATCTTGAGCTGTCAGTCTGAATTTATCTACCTGAGTAAAATGTGGGTGAATTCAGTCAGCTGGTATTTTTCACCATGGCTGGCAAATCGTAAAAATTATCTTGAAAATATTTTTGGTGTACTGTCTTCACCCCCAGTGATATAATTCCATTTAAAATTTTCCAGCTGTGGTGTCTTGATTGTTGCCTGAACCAAGTGTATACACACCATGCTACATCAAAAGCAAATGGTGAAGGAAGAAAGCATAGACAAACATTTAAGCTGAAAACCACTTTTCAGACCTTTCAAATACCAAACATTTTGCACAGGGGAGGAATGGACAGGTTTCCAAACTATTTGCTAAACAAAACAGAGGCTGAATTCTTTATGAATAGGATTAATAATTGAATAGTCAGTCAGCTTTAGTTCTAATTTTCTTTCCCTCTGCTGCATTCCAGTGCTTACTAAATGATTTCAGAACACAAGTTTCCAGGTGACCAACTTTTCTCACCCCTGGCAAACCTCTAAAAGTCAGAGAGGGGACAGACACATCTCTTTGGAGGTCAGGTTCATTATTAGCTTCTTATAAACAACATTCCCTACTTTGCTCCTGGAGAGGAGGGAGTAAGATGGACTGTAGAATAGTTAAACAAGGAAAGAAGGAAAAACAGGTGAAGGGAAGGTAAAATATGAAATGGTGTTTGCAAACAAAAACTTCCTCTGTTTTCAGAATTAATTTAAACACAGGAATGACTAAAGTTTTTGATGGGAAAATAGGGCGTGAAGAGAACACAAAAAGATGCTGCAGTTAAGAGAAAAGAGATGGTTGGATGTTTGGAAGTAAAAATAAAACAAAAAGAGAAAAAAGCTTTGTTTTTGACAAACAAAAACTAACTGGGAAACTCTCAGTTTCAAAATAAAAATTAACATTATGGTAGTTAGAATAAATCAATAGTTAGATAATACAAATGTTCATTGGTTTGAATTTTCAGGGGACCTTTATATCCATAGGAAACTGCAAAAGAGAACACCCCAACTGCTGCACAAAATACAAATCATATTTGCCAATGACTGGGAATTGGAGGATCAGGGGGAGGAAGGGGAATGTAGCCACTGCTGCCCATGCAATTGGTGACAGATACATTTCTCTTTCACATTATGCTAGTAATAGGCTGAAGGGAGCTGTAAGTATTTAAATAACAGAGAAATGCTCACATTCTTTCCCATTTGGTATATTCTTTCCTGTCCTGTGTAAAACAGGAAACCTTTTAACTTGTTAATCTGTCTGAATACCTGAATGCCACCCCAGCCATTCTGATTTAGTCTATCTAACCCACTCAAATTATTCCTTTTTCTGAACTCCTCAGCCATCTCCTTTATTTTTTTTTCTCTTGCACTGTGTGGTGTAAGAAAAATTTTACCTGATTTTATTCCAGGATTTCTGGCTATTCCCATTATACATCTTTGTTCCTCTCTCTCCTAGTCCTCTCCAAACAGCCAGTAGCTGCAGGAACACTCTGTGCTGAAATGGCAAAATGTTCCCAGCCACAAACTTTATTGGCCTACTCTGGAGCTGAATTCAAACTAGAGTTTGGCCTTCAGTGCAACAAAATGTTGAGTAAAGGGGAAAATATGATCTTTTCCTGGGGCTTGGTTCTTCTACTTCCTGCAAGCCTTTGTTCCTTAGCAAGTGAGGTAAATTTAACATGTGAATGCTTTTTGTACTGCATAATTGTTTTGCAGTTTGTCAGTAACTTGTACAAATTGCATGCTGTCACTTTCAGCCGGCTAGAAGAAGCCTTTTACTGCTCTGACTCTCTCAATTTCATGCTCTTTGCAGAAAAAAAAGAGTCCTACTGAGTTCATACATCTGTTTGATTTTTTCCCCCTGCAATGACAGAAGAATGTTGAGAATGTAGGCCTAATTTTTGAGATAGAGCCTAAATTATAGTTCAGATTCATTCCATAAAAGGAGAATTCCTGATGAAAGCATGTAGGAAGCAACAGGACCACCCTGAGTCTCTTTTGCTCTTTCCACAAACCAGGATTGCGCCACAGGAGTCACCAAGCCCCACTGAAGAAGTGCTCAGAAGACAACTGGGCAACTCTCTGGGCTGGTGATGAAAAGTAGGTGGTGATATATTCCAAAATGCCACACTTTTGGTGTCAGCAGGGGGTGCCATCCACAGCACAGATTTTCCTGCAGTGACTTCTGCTCTGCTGTGTCCAAGGAGCTGGGTCCAGACTTGCTGGGGGTGAATGGGGAAGTCCTACCCAAGTAACCTGCAGGCATCCAACCATGTGAGTGTCACCTCATGGCAGGGAAGG